AGAAACTTTGTGACCAATGAATATAATATGTAAATACATATTATGATTATCTACTAAAGAAAGAAATCTTAGTCTCGATCACAATTTTTTAAAGAGTTCATCAGAACCGCAAAATTTGTAATATTGTATGTTGTGATTTAGATTGTTGGGATCAAGAATAATCTCTACTTAGTTAGGATACCGAATATTCATTTTCGGACAAATGCCGAATAGTTTTAGAAGTTTGATATTGTAAGATACTCGTAGTAAAAGATTAATCTATGTAAGGAATAAGTAATTAAAAAAGATGTGCAAATATTTAGATACATATTCATTTTTTATATATTCATATATAATTATATACATGTATATATATATAATTATATATATATATATAATGTCGGGATGTCGGGATTTTCCCGATCCCGATTTTTTTTTAAAAAAATCCCGGTCCCGTCCCGACTTAGTCGGGATCGGGAAAATTTCCCGACTAGTCGGGATCGGGATTGTCGGGATCGGGATTTTCGGGATCGGGATTGTCGGGATCGGGATCGGGAGTCGGGAGTCGGGAGTTTTTTCCCAGCCCTAGTTGAATTGATGTTACAAGTGGACAGCTTCATGATGTAGTTTGTTCACACTTGTCTCTCGTATGGCGCGCTATATATACTCGTATATCATGTGTGTGTATCTTGTCACCACAGGAGTAATGCTTATCTATTATGGATGAATGAATAAAGAAATAGAGGAAAACAATAACTAGTCCCTACTCCTTAGAGAGTTAGACTTTAGAGTCACATAGAAGCAATAGAATATGATACCCCTCATTAAATTTCTTCAAAGTATCTCATAAAGAGTACAATTTTCTTGAAGAATTTCTATTTCTTTCGTCACAAAGAAAGTTACAATTGTGACACTATGACAATCATTTAGTGTCATGTTAATATATTACGGAGTATATTATATGCTCACTCAAATTATTTTTCAAAATATATTCAAATTATTTTATTTAGTTATTGAGAATAATTACTCGAGAGGCTGACACTAGTTTGTGTTTTTTTAGATGTCCCGCAATATTCTTTTCATTTTAAAAAAAGAGTGATTTGCCTCGTTTATTAATTTCTTCCCCTTTTATACATCAATGACATTAATCCATTTTGGGGAGGATAAGTGAACCTAAAAACTGGAAACTAAATAGACAAACTGGAAACCTAAATGACATTAATCCATTTCTTCCGCATTTGGATGCTAAAATGTTAACATTCAATTTTATTAGGAGGCATTTGGATGCTACAAGACCATGCCAAAATTCAAATGTTAGTATTATATTACTCCGTCCCGCTATGATTGTCCCACTTTACCATTTCGGTCCGTCCCACTAAGATTGTCTCATACCTTATTTGGTAAAGTTTCTGTAGTTCTAAATCATTCCTACTTTATTCTTACTTTATCAATTCAATATCAACCACATAAACCCACTTTTATCAATAACCGTGTCACCTTCTCTTGTCCCAAACTTAGGGGAGACGGAGGTATTTTAGTGGGACGGACCGAAAAGGTAATATGGGACAATCACAGCGGGACGGAGTAGTAGAAAATATGACTACCATTGCTATAATACAATGTTATAATCTACGAAATGTAAAAACTTGAACATGGATTATTATAAGTATAAAAAAATCATTGTGAATGACATTTTTACTTGAACTTTTTTCAATCCTAGGCCAAACTTAAATAGACAAGATATGATCAGACTTCCACAATTATAAGATACACAAAGATCAGACATTTACTGAATCAGACCAGACTTAAATACACCAAAGTAGACTAAACCATAGCAGCAAATTTAAATTCAAGTGAAAACATCTTTAATAGTATAATTACTATACTTTGAGAGTTTGAAGTCACATTTTTCTAAATACTCATTATTTTAGGCATACATTTAGGAAAAATTCCTTCCCAGGTTATCTTGGATCGGAGTTTAAGAAATTAGGAATAAAGTAGAAATGTATGATTATGATTGAGTAAAAAAAATAAATGAATGTTAATCACACAAAATTTTCCAAAAAAAAAAAGCAATATGACAACTTTTTTAGAATATCGTAAAAAGTTAGTTATCCCCCATCCCAAAATTATCTTCATTCTTTCTATTTCGATCTATCCCAAATTTATTTCCTCTTTTTCTTTTTGGTAAAGAATATGTGGTTCACAACCATTCTTACACATTTCTCTCTCCTCTCCACAACTCTCCACCACACAAATCGCACTATCTTAAAAATTGTGCACAGTCAAAACTGAAGTTAAATATTTGACGGAGGGAGTATAAGAATTTTCACAGAGGAATAATTATTTCTTAGAAAAATCTCAAGCCCATAAGAGCATCTCCATTCATGCTTTCTGAATAAACGATTATTTCATAATACATCATTGTCACATCACATTTTTCAATAAATTTCAAATAATCTCAAAACGTAAAACTATTCATCAACAATAATGCTCAATTAATCAGTTTTTTCCGGGCATGCATTAAATGTAATTTAACTACAATCTAAAATAATTCGGGATTTGAATCTTGATACCGGATTTTATTTATTAATAATGTCACTAAATAATCTCTTACTCACAACTAGTCAATCGACCCGTGCGTTGCACGGATAAACAAAGAACTTTTTTAATGTATAATCATGTTTAATAAATAGAAAACGTTGGAATGAAATAAATCATAACCAATACATGTACTTAGGATAAACATACGTGCAATGTTTATTTGTTAAAAAACCGTTAATATTAATACTGAAAAAACGGTGAATGAAAATATTACCAAACATTTTTAACCATTTAACCCAATAATAAATACCCATTCAATGTAATACATGCATATCGAATATCAATCCTTTCTACCTTATACAGATTAACCGCTCGGAATGAGCGTATATTTGCCACTAAAGATTTTTCTGAATGTTCTTTCTCTTCGTAATACTTCTCTCAAAGTCAAAGTTTCGCAAATGATCAACTCTATGACCTTGACACTAATAAGTTACTTCACATCACTAATAAGTTACATCAAAACAAATAGAAGAATGGGTGAAAAGGGGAACCGTTCAACAAATTGAACACCATAATTCATTGAACATTAATGAAAAGGTTTTTTTTAATCAATAAAAAGGTTAGAAATTGTAGCAGCTAAAATAGGCGATACTTTATGAGGTATTAAAATTTATTAATGCTCATATATGTGAGATTAATAATCATGTATGTAAATTAAGGGGGTGTTTGGATCTGATTCTCAAAACTGATTCTGCTCCTTTAGGGAGCAGAAGCAGAAGCTGGAGTGTTTGGGTAAAATTCCAGAAGCACTAATTACTCCCAGAATAAGTTTTTTTTAGAAGCTGGGGGGTACCAGCTTCTGAAAACTGATTCTGATTCTGCTTCTTCTTTAAAAAAGAAGCATAAGCAGAATCAGTTCCAAACACCCCCTAAAACTACATTAATATTATTCTTTTTGTACCTAATTACTTCTTATACTGTTTTACTTAATATCTATATTTTAATTATTTTTTATACCAATTAACTTCAATGAAATTGATGTAGTTACCGTAGAAACCATTTTAGGTATTTTATCTTATACTACCTCCGTCCGAAAAGGATTGCTATATATTGATTTTTTTTGTCAATGAAGAAAACATGCTAACTCATTTAACTCATTCAATTGATTGGATTATCACAAAGCGGGGTCCTTGTTCTTTTTGGGTACTATCTTTGCAGTGATTTCAATTTGAATCGGTAGTTTATACGGAGTATATCTTACCTTATAAGATAGTATATACATACATAAATTAACAAATTTGATGCGGATATTTTTAGAAACAAATTTAATGACCACTGTTAGATGTAATTTTGGCATCATTGAGAATTTTTCTTACCGTGTACGTACTACTCCCTCCGTAACAAAAAATATCTTCCCACTTTCCTTGTTTATCCGTAACAAAAAAATCTTCTCATTTCTCAATCTTTCCATCATACTCTCAATAATTTTAAAATAATACACTATTACAATTATTATTATTTTTGGATTTATTCTTCATACCACCACATTATTCCATTATTTTCCCATCATACCCTCAATAATTCATATTCTCTTTCACTATTCTTAATCTACCTACTTTTGAAGTGGAAAGATTTTAAAGTTACGGAGGGAGTAATTTATTTAGAAATAAAATATTAACATTTATAAAATAATTTTGCCCTGTAAATCTGTAATACACACGTTTTTTTTGGGACGACATGTTTTGTTATTACTAATTATCATTTTTATACAAAATCATTTAGACAATAATTTTATTATTATATTTGTATCAGATTTATACATTTTATATTTTATGAAAATATTTTTAATAGAAATTGAATATTTTACACCCAAAAATGATTATGTATAAAAAAAATATAACTTTCAAATGATTTTGTATTAAAACATACCCACCACAACTTTTACTTTTCAACCACTTCATTAATAACTATTCCAAGTCAAACTAAGACACATAAAATGAGACGGGGTAGTATATTTTATTTACCATATTTATCCATAAATTTAAGAAGCTTAAATTTCTATTTTCACCGTACGAAGCTTAACTTTCCAAAAAAAAATTAAAAGGAAAACTCAATTAATGTGCAACATATTATATTTTATTTATCATATTTATATACTTATTCTCAATAAAATTTACGGAACTTAAATTTGTTTTACCTTACGAAGCTTAACTTTCCAAGGAAAGCTTAAAGGAAAACTTGATTAATCATACGTTACAGGAGCATATATATCTACTATATATATAAAAGGTGGAAGGATGTTAAGTGAATCAACGCCCGTTACTACATGCTCCCCCAACTAAACGTGCGCACAGGTTTAGGGGCTTTGGAAACCAACGACCGTCTACTCCACGTGGGTTTCTATTTTTGTTTGCTATTATCTTTTCGTTTGCTATTATCTTTTCGTTTGCTAATATCCTTTCGATTTCGAGATTTTCGAGAGCATCTTTCTGCTGTTTCCTACTCGATGGGACCGGCGTCCCTTCCATACACTGTTGGTAATGATGGAATCGGCCGAGCCTTCAACTCCTACAAGTTTGCCTATTTCTTTGGACCATTTCATTGTTCTTTCGTTGTGGTCTTCTTGAGTTTGAGCTGCTTCTTCAACGGTATGTTCTCTTGCCTTTGTTTTTGTTTTTTTTTTGTTTTTCTTCAACGGAGTGTATATCTCTGTTCATGGTTCCAGAAGGCGTTCAGTTCTTACGCCCCTGCAGCGCAAAGGCGTCTATTAAACGCCTGTAAGTCTTAAGCCCCCCTTCCCGTAACAAGCTTACGCCTTTATTTTTCTGAGGCGATAAAGCGTAGAGGCAAAGGGTTGGTGGACGCAAGGCGTAGACCTTATTTTTAAGGCAAGTTGGGCTTATTTTTAAAATTATTGGAGGACTCGCTTTTCCCCATCCTAAAATCTTAAATACCAAATACCTGGATGCATTCGCGTTCATCAATCATCCCTTAGTCCACAGCCTAGGTTGGGTGTTGACTTATTAATCCAACTATTTCTGAGATATTAAGAAACAACGACTGCAAGAGCTGCTCTCTCAGTCGAAGCTCAAGTGTAGAGTCTTCAGGAACTACTTTGTCTAGGTGATGATAAATTAACCCACCGCCTAACTTGTATAGGTTTTTAATGTGTTTCTTGTTTAAGTTTTTTGTTAACTTTTTAAGTATTCAAAAGTTCAGTTTTACACTAGGTAGTGGAGTAGTTAATATTTATTCTGCCAGAGTACCATGTTAGTCTTTCTGAATGTTGTCATTTAACTTTATTACTGCTTTTATTACCTATGGTTTAAGCTTTGGAATTGTCATGTAAACCTACCATGTAGCTTAATACGAGTAATTTATTTGGTTAATACTTGACTTGGCACCAGATTTACAGTTTGCTACTTAATGCATTTTATATTCTTTTGTCATGGATGTTTTGGTGGTTTATTTTTTTACTTTGATATTTTAGAGTTTTATATAGATTCAACATATATATTTTATTGTTATGTGCTTTTTATTAATGATTTTGTTTAGCTGAATTGTTATTATGAATTATCTATATTATCCATATGCTGTAGCAAAACTGTAACAAGCTAATCTATATTATGTACTTAATCTGTGAAGTCCAATTGCTGCGTTGGTAATCAAACTAGCTATACCTGCGACAAAGTTGATGCTATAAACGCATTCTGCAAGTTTGTATTCAATCTTTGTGTCCTTTTTATTTTTTCCGAGTGTTTGTGGCGTATATTTTGTTTTTCCCATTTTTCTACACTCTGTCTTTTTCAGCTTATTTGCAGGTAAAAGTGCTGTTATTTACTTTTGCTTAACTCAACGTCCCTACTGTTATTAATCTAAAACCTTCATTCCTAATCGAATCAAAATTGGGATTTATGGTGTGTTCCAATGAACTTAAGATAGTAAATTACTAATACTTGCTAAAAGAATGTAGAGAATATGCTGTAAATTAATAATATATAAATATGTACACTTGTTTATGCATTTTTATGATTATTTATGCATTTTTTGGTTTAGTTATACGTTATATATCTTATTTTATTTTATTTTTTATAAGCATTGCTTTTTGTGAAAAAAAAACTACGCTTCGCTTAACGCTTTCGCTTTAAAGCAAAACCCAAAGTAAACGCTTTTCGCTTTAAAAAGGTTCAGAACAGCCCTCACTTTGATATGAAAAAAATAAATATGTTTGGATTCTTGCTATGGTGGTTTGTTATAAGTGGGTACTGAAATGCTGGGGGGTTTAAAATGGTTTGTGGTGCTTCTTTCTTCATTCTTTTTTTGTTGGGTGTGGGTTTTGAAAATATGGAAGAAAGGGGAATGACCCCCAGTTTGACATAACAAAATTAAATGTGTTTGGATTCTTGCTATGATGGTGTGTTTTAAGTGGATGCTGATGAGTGAGAAGGCAAACCCATAAAGATGATTTCTTACTTCTTTCCAGTTTTTTCCTTTTACTGATGTGGTAGCTACGAAAAGAGAGCCTCTTCAAAACTGTAAAACCTTTATATGTTTCTTTGCAGTTCAAGGTTTAGTTTGTAACTTGGAGTTGTCCTCTTGGGTTCTCTGTGAGTACTCGACTCCCACTATTGTTTATTAAACTGCGTTCTGGCGTGGTTAATGTTTCCCTTGATAGTTTATATCTGTTTTAAAATTGTACTTGTCCCTTTTTGGATTTGACTTGGGCAACCCATTTATGACTGTTTGTTGTATCCTGTGTTGTTTTGGACGGTTTACAGCGTTGTTTTGACTCTTAAGTAAAGCCAAGGGCAGGTCTTAGAATTAGGAGTCTAAAAAACTTCATGTGACAAATCTCTTCGCCTCATCTGCACGAAACCGTGGTTGTGTTGTTATTCGTGTTGTTTACTGGAGGGGGAGGGAGGGGTAGAGACTGCACAGACTCGTCCAGTGTCTTTGTCCCAGCTGCCCAATGTCATCATGGCGTGGTTATGGATCTGTTGTGACTCCAGAAGAGCAACGAGCTCGCGTGAACAAGCGCCAGCGACTTGCGCGTGCAAACAAAAAAGCAGAGCGTCTAACGGGTAGTGAACATCCCACAGACTCGTCTGCACAATCGTTTAGCGCTGGTAAAGCCACAGGTTTGTGCTGAATGATTTTGTCATGTTTTATGTGCCACAGTGCATTTGCTTCTATGCAAAGGGCTAACTATTTTTTTGTTTTTTTGTACTGCCCTTAATCCCCTTATCCAAAACCCATTAAACGTAACATGTATGTCGAATCGTTTATTGTTTGATCCGTTGACATTTCCCAAAAAAAAACCACCTGGCTTACCATTCCATATTCACTACCGTTAATGTAACGTTTCACTCAAACTTCTGTTGTTTGTACATCCAATGTAACATTCCTCACTCTGTGATATTCATAATCGTGGGGTTGATTGCTGCATCTTTTTTCACCCTACTTGCGATGTATGTGCGCTGTCATTCATTGCGGTTCATTGTTTAGATGAGGGAACTTCTGCTTCTTCGGACCGCCATGCGTGTTACACCCTCCAGGCAGTCCCAATGTGTATGTTTTGCGGTGCTCACCGCTTTCAGTATGAGCCACCCACCATGTGTTGCAGTCGAGGTGAGGTGGTCCTTGTTTCAACTGAAATGCCACCCCAACTACAGCATTTGTTTACATCCCGTGATCATATAGCGAGGCAATTCCAAGCATCTGTTAGGACGTATAACAATACCTTCGCCTTTACATCCATTGGAATCTATAATTACGATAGGAATTTGTGTCGTCGCAATCAGGGGATATATACCTTCAGGGTGCAAGGGCAGATATATCATTTCATTAATGACCTCCTTCCTGATGGGTGCCCTCCTCGTAATTTGCAACTATACTTCTACGATACCGACCATGCTGTGGAAAATAGGTTGGAATCGACAGAACGTCTGGACAGGGAAGTTGTGTCTGTGCTGATGGACGTGATGGCAACGAACCCATACGCACAGTTTTTCAAGTCTTTGGAGGAGGTTGGGCAAGATGATGAATTCTCCATTGTTCTCAATGGCAACCCTTCTCTAGATCAGCGTGTTTACAACCGCCCAACGTCTACCCAGGTTGCTGCTATTTGGGTTGAGGATGGGGATGAAGGTTTGGGCTCCACTAGAAACATTAAAGTGTATGCACACAGCGGAAGGTCTCAAAGCATTCAATATTATTATGGATGTTATGATCCTTTGCAATATCCTCTCCTTTTCCCACTCGGCGAGATGGGGTGGCATGAGGGGATTCCAAAAAGTGTGCGGCCACAACTCCCTCGTTCCTCGCAGGTCGCTCCTGTTCCGCAGCCTGTGCCTTCACTCTCGATTAACTGCACCCGATTTGAAACAGATGATGCACTCATAGCAGGTGAGGAGAGGCAGCACAACGAGGGCAGGAAAAGGCATTCAGTCTCTTGTAGGCAATACTACGCATATAAATTGCAAGTTCGGGACCAACCCACCTCATTCATACTTCACACTGGTCGGTTGTTCCAACAATACATAGTTGATGTGTATATTAAAATTGAAACACAGCGACTTGACTATTACCGTAGTAAACAACGCGAGTTTCGTTCTGACACTTATCAAGGTTTAGTAGACAGTCTTGAATCAGGCGCGCATAACACAAGTGAGGTCGGTCGACGCGTTGTTTTACCAGGCTCCTTCATTGGTGGCCCACGTGACATGCGCAGTCGTTACATGGACGCCATGGCGCTTGTCCAAAACTATGGGAAACCGGATTTGTTTATCACCATCACGTGTAACCCGAATTGGCCAGAGATTAAAAAACACTTGAGGTTTGCCGATGAAGTACAAAATCGACCGGAACTTGTTGCACGCGTCTTTCGTGCTCGCCTGGAAGACTTTAAAAAGGATATCATAACAAAAGCTTTGTTTGGGAAAGTTGTTGCCCACACGTATGTGATAGAATTTCAGAAAAGAGGCCTTCCACATGCCCATTTCCTGTTGATTTTGTCGCGGGAGAGTAAGATCGGCACTGCTGCCCATTGTGATCGCCTAATTTCCGCTGAACTCCCATGCCCCACTAAGGAACCAATATTGTATAAGCTTGTGAAAAAACACATGATACATGGCCCTTGTGGTTATATGAACGTCAAGTGCCCTTGCATGGTCTCCCAAAATCCCTTAGACCCTCCCGCATGCAGGAGCAAGTTTCCTTGCGTTTTTTCCACTGAAACTACCTTCGATGACAACTGCTTCCCTTCTTACAGAAGACGTGAATCTGGCATCACAGTAGAAGTTCGTAAGCATGCCCTGGATAACAGATGGGTTGTTCCTTATAACGCATACTTGTTGAACAAGTATGACTGCCACATCAATGTGGAAGCGTGTGCAAGCGTCAGGTCCGTGAAGTACATATATAAATATGTGTACAAAGGACATGACAGGGTCAGCCTTTCACTAGCTGCTTCGCGGGAAGATGAAGTTGTTGATGAGATATCCGACTTTCAAAAAGCCCGTTGGGTGTCACCTCCTGAAGCAGCGTGGCGGATTTTCAGCTTCCCCATCAGTGAAATGCGTCCGTCTGTTATTCAGTTGCAGGTTCATTTAGAAAACTCTCAGTATCTTACGTTCTACGGGGACCAGCGCATTACTTACATCACACAGGCTGTCGATTCCGCAAAAACTATGCTGACCCAGTTCTTCTGGATGAATTCAACTAATGAAGTTGCAAAGAGACTGAAGCTTCTATATGTTGAATTTCCTTGCTATTTCGTGTGGACTGGGCAAAAGAAAGAGTGGACTCAACGTAAAAGGAGAGAAGTACTTGGCAGGCTGGTGTCTGTCAACCCAGTTGAGGGGGAGCGATATTACCTCCGTCTCTTGCTTGCAAATATTCGGGCGCCGACATCTTTTGCAAATCTCAAATGCATTGGTGGGGATGATTCTCCAACGTTTAGAGCTGCCGCTGAACATCTCGGGCTGCTGTCGGGTGATTTTGTTGTTCGAGAATCACTTGTTGATGCTGTTGTATACCAGTTACCCGCAAGCATGCGTAAACTGTTTGCTGTGCACCTTTGTTTCTCATCTGTGCCTGACCCCCGAGCATTGTGGGATGAATTTAAACCTCATTTATGTGAAGATCTCACTAGAATTCAGTCCCAGGGGGCGGCAGAGCAGGCTGTCCTACACATCCTGCGTGACTTGCTCAGTTCAATGGGGAAAGACATAGATTCATTTGGTTTGATCGACACACAATTGAATACAAATGTTGGGAGCGGCATCAGCAGGGAAGTTGCTGCGGAACACAATCTATGTGTCAGCGATTTAGATCTGGCTGGCATTTCATCGTTGAATGCTCATCAGCGCTCTGCATTTGATGCAATCATGGGAGCTGTTCATTCGTGCAAGGGTGGTGTGTACTTCGTTGACGGCCCTGGTGGAACCGGCAAAAGCTATTTATACAGATGTTTACTTGCTGCAACTAGAACAAACAAATGGATAGCTTTGGCCACTGCCAGCTCTGGCATTGCAGCATCCATCCTTCCTGGTGGTCGTACTGCGCATTCCCGTTTCAAACTTCCGCTCGATAGTGAATCGAACCATATGTGTAACATAGGCAAACAGTCTGCAGAGGCTAAACTGCTTAAAGAAGCGCGTTTGATCTTATGGGATGAAGCGTCAATGGCCCACAGAACGGCGGTTGAGAGTCTGGATGCCACGTTGAGGGACATACTGGATGTGAATGCGCTTTTTGGAGGGAAAGTTATGGTTTTTGGAGGGGATTTTAGACAGACATTACCCGTTGTCCGTTCTGGGACAAGGTCTGATTTCATTGCCGCATGCCTTTTGAGCTCGGTCAGCATATGGCCTCATGTGCAACGGTTTCGCCTTGTTTCAAATATGCGTGCGCATGAAGATCCAGCGTTTTGTGAGTATCTGCTTCGTATCGGCAATGCAAGTGAACCTACTGTTTCGCGGGGTAGAATTAAAATCCCATCAAGCTTTATTATTCCTTGGATCAATGAGACTGCCTCACTTGATCTCCTATTTGCAGCCGTTTATCCAGATTTATGTCTATTTCTAAGCGATCCGTATGCATTAATGTCACGTGCAATTCTTACAACAAAAAATGATATCGTTGATTTCATTAATTCATACCTCATGGAAAAATTCCCTGGTGAAGCTCACACGTATCTTAGCCACGATGTTCCTAATGATTCCAAACATGTCCATTGTGAAGACTACCTTCATACACTCTCCCCGACTGGGCTGCCCCCTCATAAATTGAGCTTGAAACGTAACTGTCCAGTGATGCTTCTCCGTAATTTGAACCCATGTGAGGGCCTTTGCAATGGGACTCGGTTAATTTGCGATTCGTTTGGAGACCATGTCCTGAGTTGTTTCATTGCCTCGGGCGATCACAAAGGCAAGCACGTTTTTATCCCTAAGATCCCCCTTGAAATGTCAAAGGATGAATACTGTGCAATGCCGTTTAAGCGCACACAATTTCCAATAAAGGTTTGTTTTGCAATGACAATAAACAAATCGCAAGGCCAGACCCTGGACTTTGTTGGAATATATTTGAAAGAACCAGTCTTTTCTCACGGACAGCTATATGTCGCGATGTCCAGGGCAAAAAACGCATCGTCTGTTAAAATGGTCATTACCCCTGATGATGTCAGACCCGCTTTCTCAAATACTACATGCAATGTGGTGTATGAGGAGATATTACCTTTCATTTGTTAGCAACTGCTTATGTACCGGTGTGCATGCTTCCCTTTGTATTATGTTTAACTTATACCACTGATTCTTGTTCTAAATCTGGTTGTGTTCCAACTTTAATATGCTTATCTCATGGTGCAGGTTCTCATCAACTATGTCAGTTGAAATGTTGCTCCCAGAAGTCAAGCCAGGAATAGGAATGTGGTCATGTCGCCTTACGGTTGTTGAAAAACACAACGTACGCAAAGCGAAAAATTCCCCTATGAAATTCATGCACTTCATACTGATGGATACCGCGGTAGGTTCATCATCTCCCAACCTTTTGCTGATCTATGCTCATGCGAAAATAACAATTATGGAATCTGAACTGACTTTCATCATGGCAGGCACTCCAAACCTGTTGTTCTTACTCGTTATATTATGTTTTGCAGGGAAACAAGGTGCAGGCAGCTGCATTCCAGGGAGACATTGATGTGATTGATCAACGTCTTGCTTTGCACTCAACCTACCTTATCTCAAATGCTTTCGTGAAGCCAGCCACTGATCTGCGATATTGTGTTGATCTTAATTACCAGTTTGTTTGGACATTCACGCGAAGAACCCTCATTCAGGATGTTACTCCTGAGGATGCCATTGATTGCGCCCTTCTTCTTGAGGCAGGGACTAAGCCTTTTCGTGATTTCTATGACTGTCACTTGCGTAAAGAAAAAATAAGTAAGTCTCCGCTCTGCAGTTTTGACTGCCTTACAATTACTCAGCCACATAACGTTGCTTTTGTACATTTGCAGGTGCTCTGGCTGCAATTGTTCAGAAATTGCCTCGTGCATTCATTGTGACGGATGGACATCAGAAACCTGCTTGGGACATCGTTCTCATTAATGAGGAGTATGCCCGTAACACTTGACCCTCTATTGTGTTATAGTGAATACTCATATAATTATGCATCCATTTCATCCTTTTTCCCATCTTTATTACCAAGGTGTATCCCGGTTCCTCTCACTCTTTGGGAAGATTTTGTCACCAGTCATGGAGCTGAAATTGAGCGACATCTCGAGGAGGGGAATTACCCACTGGTTCTCATTGAAAGGGTTGCTGTCAACCTTTTTCAAGGTAGCATGCGTTTTGGTTTTCCCTTTACTCCATCTGTTGGCATATCTTGATGTAACATGCTCCCATTTTTTTTGCTAGGTCTCACTCTGGCAACCAGATTTGATACCCGTTTGGAACTCAATCCAACTGGTGAACGTGCGCTGTTGTTGAGGAAGTGGTGAGTATATGATATTTTCATTTATTGTTGTTGTTTCTCTGTTGCACACTAACATGATTTGATGAAAGGGTTGTTGAAAATGTCCACAAAGTTGATCAAATGACGCTAGAGAAGGTGTATGAGGACGCTCTTAGTGCTCTAGCCAAGCCTCTGTCCCAGCCTCGCACGCCTGTTGCTGGGCTGGAAGCAAAATTAGACGAGGTTTGTCATATTTGTGCTTTGTTGCTACTTACGATTTAACCATTCTCGTTCTAAATTGTTTTACATTTGGCGCAGATTCCTGTTGCGTGGGTATTGGGAAAGTTCATTCTAATGGACACTTCAGATGATGGCTTTTACGTGGGTTGTGACTATTGTAACAGAAGGGTTTACGCCATGGAAGGGGTGACTTTTGAATGCATGTTCTGTGGCCAGAAAAAAGGGAAATCAGTTAAGAGGTATGTGCAGAAAGTGTAATTAAACAGTTCGCAATCGTTCTTTTGCTCTCTTGTCCATTTGCTGCTGCCAGCATCCCCTTTATGTTCTTATGTTTTTGCGTTTTTTAAAGGTTCCGTTTTGATGCTTCACTGAGTGATGGAACGTCTAGCGTTCTCGTGACTCTCTTCACAGGGGACATTCTGTCCCTGTTTGAGTTCGTGCACATGGACGCAGGAGACATCGTTGATCTCGAGGCATTTGACTCAAAACTGCAAAAAATTGACATTATCGCTGGCGTGAAACGCACTAAACTTAATGAAGAGCGAGCCCAAGGGAACCCGTACACTGTGGTGTGTGTCGTTGAGCCAAAACCTTTCACAGATGCTGTTGCCAAAGACAAAATTGCCCTGCCAGGACCCAGTTTTCTCCCCGCAGCGAAAAAAAGCCTGAACTTTGAGACTGTCAAAGATCTGCCTGTGCATGAAGCTACTTCTACTGATGAGCCGCTCACAAATCAGCGTGCAAGGAAGCGCAAATTGTCCGACTCATAAGTTATGCTGACCATTTGCCCGGTCGTGGGGATTTCCAGCTGCGTCTGCTCATTGTTCTTTGGTTGTGCTGTTTGTATATATTTTTCGTTGACTTGAAGGCTTGTTTTGCTCAAACACTCGTGGTCTATAATTCGTGGAGAGTTAGTCTATACCATTGGCTCACTCGCTACTCAATTATTAGTGTCCACGACCTCTCCCCGAACTTGGTTCTCTGTACATGCAGTGTTGTTTTTGCACAAATTACTATGTTTGGACTGTTTTCTCTGTAAATATCTAATCCCAAACTTGGTTCTCTCTAAATATCTAATCCCATATTCCCATGATTTGGTCAAATAGGGGAATTAAATAATCCCCTATTTAAAAATTAAAAAACTGGATTAGTAATTTTGCTCTTTTACCTTTCAATTATTGTTTCCCAATTTATATGCTTCTTTGGTGTTTTTATAAATGTCATTTCAAATATGTAATTGTTTTAAGCTCTTCTCTTATACTACATAAGAATTACTTATCTTTTATTCCATAGACCACCTTCTCTTTTAGGATTTAAACTGACACTCTAATGGGAACACATAGTATATCACCACTATTTGGAAATAAATTACAGGTTATTGTGAAATACATAAAGTCATTCTATATAGATACTTTTATAAGAAGGGGCAAGGAACAAGATGGGGCTGGGGCTGTTGTTGCCGGGTGAATGAGTTTTTGAAAGTAGACTCATCCCTTCGCGCATTTAAAGCACTCTTATGATATTTGCTATTTGTTATTTTTTTAGTCCATCTGTAATATAGTTTGCCATAATTTTCATTCGTAAATAAGTGTATGAATATATACATCTGTAATATGATTTTGTTACAAGTCAACATGTTAGTGTAGGATCTGTTTTAACCTATTAATATAGCTTGTTGTGATTGTCATTCCCATCTATTAATCTATTTATTAGGCCGAGTGCATGGGTTGCAGAAACAGTGGCTGGCTTCACGAAAGCATTTGAGATTCCCAACCAAAAACCCTATTTGGAGGTACATTATAAGTTTTTAATTACTTCTTTATGTTATGAGTGTGGAGTAGTCACTTTAGATTCTGGACTAGCAAATAGAACAATTCTATTTCTGCCAACGATATGGAGAGTGCATGGGTTGACAAGCTAACTTTCCTATCTCCACACCGGATGAGAGAAATCAGGAAATATGAAAGTTGATGTATAATGGTTTTTGGAGATGAATAATGAATTTGCCAGTGCACTTGGCCACCGTTCTATGTCCTGTATGGTGGTTAGGCTGCGCTACTCATATTGAAACTGTAAAGTTGCTTTTCTTATAATTCAGTTTATTAAGATTTTGGATGTTGGTGTTTTAAGAAAATTCAATACAAGACAGCTTTGGATGTTGGCGTTTTATCAGTTTTTTTGTCCTTTCAGCTTTTGCATTTAATGATTCCTATTTTTATTAATTTCACAGCAGCAATATGTTCTTTAAAGAAAGAAACCATCATCTCATTCATGAATAATAATAAGAGTGTGCATCCCTGAATGAAGTAAGAAACCATCGGGATTAGAATTTGACTGAAAGGGATGCAATTTGTTGAGAACCATGCTGATATAACAAAATAGAAAACCCCTAATCTACTCTTTACACTGAACTGAAAAAATTAGCCTACTATTATTATAAAACAATCGAGATTAGAATTTGACTGAGAGGGATGCATTTTTTGTTGAGAGCCATGCTGGCATAACAACACTGAGAAATCCCAACCTTACTATTTGCACTGAAATGAAAAAAAGAGCCTATTATTATTATAAAACAATAAAAACCCAGAATTCTTTTATAGAAAGTGTATAATCAGAATGTTAGGCTGCAGCTTTGCTCCTCTTTACTTAGAACTTGCTTTCATTCATTATTTGGTAGATAAGACATTGTTTTTGCATTTAGGTGTATTTTTTTTTTTTTGAAAAAACAGCAAGTTGTTGTTGCAGATTATTTCTGCATTTCATAGAAATTTTTCTGCATGTTTTCGTTGTTATTCTATCCATGTTGTTAGAAGAGAGTTTCTGTATTCTGTTTCATGAAAAGTGCATATGTATGCAAATATTAATGTATATATTCAAAAGGATAGGTGTATCCCTAAAATGAAGTGAATGGGCTGTGAAACTTAAACTTGTGAGTAGCTCTAAGCATACATTTAGGAATAGCCAAGAAAAGAAGTTTTCAGAATGTTGAATACATCAAATAGAACAGCCCAAAAATAAAAAATAAGTTTACTACGTGGTCTCATACAGGCCTTTCCTTTTAAGCATTTGGCAGATTGAAAATTTAAGCTTTGTGCAGCCAAAGCTCTTGATCATGAACTGGATTTGGATTTATGGATAAACATTTTGACCAGGACCCCTTCAATTTGTCACAGGAAGAATTGAAGGTTTTTTTTGTTGTTGCAAGGTTACAGGAAAACTAAGAAAATAGCAACATTTAAAGGCTTTCAAGGACAACTTTGGTAGAAGGTTCATCGGTTGCTTTTATTTTATGGCTACTTGAATGTTCATAAAAAAACACGTTTTAGGGTTTTCATCGCTTTTAGATGACTAAAAAGCTGAACTTTGTGTTATTGTAAGTCTGACGATCATGTAATCCAACCTATTTGATGAAGCAATTCCCTTTTGATTGAATATATTACATGAAATACCCGTAGTAATATCTTTCAATAACTGAAGTATCTCTGATAATTCTTTTTGTCTTACAGCTTGTTACCTCTAAGGTCATCCACAACAAGCTAACTGGTCAATCTGAGGGTTATGGCTGTATCGAGTTCCGTAGTCGATCAGCTGCAGATAATATCTTAACAAACATATCATGGATCACTCATGCTAAATTCTGATCAAAACTTCAGGCTGAACTGGGAAACATTTGGAGCTGGCAAGAGGCGTGGTGATACTCCAGATTTCACCATCTTTCATGGAAATTTGGCTGCTGAAGTGAACACTGACTATCTTCTAGAAACATTTAAAGCCGTGTATTCTTCAGTAAAGGGTGCAAAAGTTGTAACCGATAGGGAATCTGGGCTTTCCAAGGGCTATGGGTTTGTCAGGTTTGGGGATGAGAATGATCAATTACATGCCTTGACTGAGATTGAGATGAATGGTGAGGTGTGCTTAAGTAGGTTTGGGGATCAGGTCAGCTGCTAACAAGAACCCTGTTAATACACATCAGAAAGGTTTGTTCATGTTACTTATTCAGCACTTAGTTACACCTTGCTTGATTTTTTGTTTAAAGCTCCCCTATCTTCAAATTATATTTGGTAAACTGGTGAGTTTATTCTTGATGGTGTTGCTTTTGATTAAATCAGTGACCTCGTTGGTGTGGTGCTTGCTTTGTTTACAATTCTCAGTGTAAAAGTTGATAATCATCTCAGTCATGCCCTTTTTCATCCATAGCTTCTATACATATCGTTTGCACACTTCAAGGTTTTTGACAATTTTGAAATTATGTTTTTCCACACTTGGCATTGTAACATCGGACAACTTTACTTGTGCCAAAACTTGCATAAACTTATAAAACTCATCTTGTCTCAAAGCAGGAACACATAGGCTCTTGTATATAGGGGCCTGAAACTGATTTTCATTTGAAATAATTCCACTTTAATGTGTGACCTCATTGTAGGTCAGCTAATTGTTTATGCAGCGAGTTTCCTTATTTTAGTTTTGTGGCATCTCTTATGCTACATCAAGTTAGTGTCAGTATACTTACTCATTACAAGTCTTCGTGAATTGATTTTCACAATTTTTAAGTGCTGCAACTTTTCTTCTACTGCTTTCCTATTTCATTTATTTCGTAATATTCAATTGAGCTCATGTTCGGCCATTTCTTTCAATTCCATCTACTACGTATTAAATAACTCACCACAATGCTCCTCTCATGAATATTCCATTCAAATTAGCGCTTTACAAATTACAAGCACCAAACCATTTCTTAGCTTACTACCCATATTCATATCTGTAGTATTGCTTGATTACTTCCTGATTTTTTCTCAAACTTAGCCGTTTTTCGAAACAACGTATTACCCAAGCTTCTGCCACGTCATCTCCACTTCAGAAGGTGCCACGTCACCCACATCGGATCAAGTGAAGAAGTAAACCGAAACACGAGCCCGACCTCCATGGACTCATGGTCTGTCCACCGACATATGTTTTTTCCTTTAATTTTGCGTGTTGGGCATGAATACTCGCGCAACGCGCGTGCTCCCTGCTAGTATTAGTTATATATGTGATGAACATATGGGTTTGTAATTAATACTTAAGCATTTCATTAATACTTCTCCAACAAAATTTCACTTCTTTGGGCGGCAAAATATGTTTCTACCTGAAATCCCACCTTGTTATCTTTATATATATAAAGATGATAATATTTAAAATAATCTTACACGCCATCAAATTGATCTTCAAATAAACTCATGAATGAGGATGCTCTAATGGAAAAGAAAATACTCTCAAAATACGGAGCAGATAATAATTAAAATCAATATCAAAAGTCGATTTGACCAACTTTAATTTCAATTCTATGTTCCCCATTTTCTTCAAACAAGCTCATAAATCAACAAATCATCACCTACACACTCTGCGGTCATTATCAAGATGACAAGATCCGGCAAATTCCGTTCACCAATCTTTCAGATACTCTCTCTGCTTGTGTGCAGGAGAGGCTTCAGTTTTGATGCATATCTGGACGACGAGGGTAAACAAGATGTAGCTCTGATGCTTGAAACCAACGCATTTCCAGCAGATCTGGCAATGGCTGAGTCCGGTAAAGGGAAGCCGTGTTTTATCCTCACAATGCTCTAATTTCGAGTCGTCCGGATCCGATTAGCGTTTGATGTGCGCTAAAACTGTTGCGACAGACGCCGAGGAAGAGATGAAGGGTTAGTGCTGGTTGACACTGGTCAGATATTCCGGCAAGCAGGTTAAAGCCGGAGCGGGAAGAAAACCGGTGTGAAAACTTTGGGGGTGTTTGGAACTGATTCTACTCTGCTTCTTTTTTAAAGCAGAAGCAAAATCAGAATCTTTTCAGAAGGTGATATCCCCAGCTTCTATAAAAAACTGACTCTGAGAGTAAATTAGAGCTCGAGAAGTGCTTCTGGAATTTCATAACACTCCAGCTTCTGTTTCTGCTCCCTGAAGGAGCAGAATCAGTTTTGAGAATCAGATCCAAACACCCCTTTGTGAAGTTATAAAATTGCCCTATAGTTTCTTTTTTCGTTTTGTTTCCTATTTTAGCTTTTTGTCAGATCTTTTCCTTTTTATGTAGATTTTTTTTGCTTTTATTGTGTTT